TGGATTACGGTCAATGAAGCTCTAACTCCGCTTTGAGAAGGCAGTTGACCTCAAATTCATTACTGTTGCAACTACTGAACCAGAGGGATCAAGTCCAAACGATGTTGATGTCCTCACTGGAGAGGAAGAGAGGCTTGTTGAATCTGGGTAGGAGCTTCTGGTTAATGCTTTCGCGTATATGGAATCCAGTCGGAGATTGCAACTGGGATGCTGCAGCATTCAGTGAGAGCCCCTATAATTGAGACAACACTGATGTATCAACAAATCCAAAAACATCATCAAGGTTGGCTTCACCCCACCAAGCTGACTGTACTCCCTTGTTCGACCACCATATGAGGCAGCAAGGGCTGCAACAGTGGCCAAGGTCCAGCTGGACTGGGTGGAGAGATTGGAGATCTCATCCATCAACTGCTATTGTTGGTGATGAGATCGTCATCACCAACTGGCTTTCACAGACAGGTTGAACCCTCCATCAACCTTGAAAAGGATGAAGCAACTAAATACCTTCAAAGGATCTGAATTTCTAGGATACCTGCTCACTCATTGGGATCGCAAGGCGGATATCATAGCTCCGGCTTCCCTTAACACAAAGAACACGCCACGATCCGTTAACCGTAACAAACGCGATATCCAAATAGCAGGCCACCTCCACAGAAATTGCATTCATCTGAAGTGGAATCAATGCTGGCGGATCACACCGGCCATGAACATGAGGCTGGTAGCTCGGAATATTCGGATTATCAACAATTGCAGGATCAGAGATCACCGCGTAAAGCATCAGGGTAGTTGGAAGAAGTGTGTGGGAAGATTTCTCCATTGCAACTGGCCTTGGAGGTGAAACGGAACGATCGCTTCCAAAGTATATTCGCTTTGGGAGCTTCAAGCCATCTTCGATAGATTTCACAAATTGTTGAGCCATTCTGATAAGACTATTGAGAGAGAAACGACAAAGGCTCGTTGGATACAATTAGTCTTGGTATTGCTGGAGGTTGAAGGAGAAGAGAGTCTGGAAGAGCTCCGAGGAGGCGAAACGAAATTAAGACAAATTTTCAGAATACCTCTGGACTCTGGTTTTCGTTTGGCATCACTGATGCTACGTTTTTTGAATGGATTAGATCGTCTTCACCAACAGGAGAGGGAGGACTTTGGAAGTTTGCCGCCCCTACAACAACTACCCTCATTGTTGTTCGTGTATCGTGAGGTCGGAGAAGATGAACAGTGTTCTTCTCCGAATAGTTATTACAAGGGTAGTATGAAGATTAAAAAATATTGCAACGGTGGATTTCAACGGAAGACTAACGGAAGGGGGTCTTTGTCTCACAGTCATATATAGGAGGGTCTTTGTCGCAAAACAAAGTACAAGGGGGTCTTTGTCACAGACCCCCGTAGTACAGGGGGGTCTTTGTAATTTACCCTTATTATTAATATAATGATTATATTATTTTTAATTATTATGTTAGTAGTAATGAATAATTATCAATTAATAATAATATAAGACATACTAGAGGATGGCTACAACAACGAGAGAGGTGATAGTGAGAATGTATTGGTGGCGAACAAAAAAAAACACACAAGGCTGGTGGGGACTCCGGCTGGTTTAATATTATTTCTAATACTTTATTATTATTATTATTATGTTTAACAATAAAGAAAGAAGGAAGAAGGAAAAAGGTAATTATCACAGCATGTGGGTCCTCAAATGTAAAAGAAGTGTTTTGAGGGTATTTTTGGAAAACAAAAACAAAGATATGTAAATAGATGTGTAATGATATAATTAGACATTAAGGCAACAAAACAAAGGAAAAAGAGGCATAAGACTTTGGAACCTAGTTCAAAGAAATACTTATTTGTTAGGAAAGTGGCTTTGGAGGTTTCCATTGGAAAGAGATAGGCTGTGGCACAAGGTTAAAAGCATTCACAGGCTGATGAACAATGCTTGGGATGCAAAGGTAGCTCCCTTATCAACCTCAAGCTCTCCTTGGAAAGCAATGCAAGAGGTATATCTAATCTTTATCAACATCATCAAGTTTGATGTGGGTTATGGTTCTAGGGTTCTCTTTTGGGAAGACCTATGGCACAAGGTTATAGAAAGCATTTACAGGCTGATGAACAATGGCTGGGATGCAACAGTAGCTCCCTTATCAACCTCGAGCTTGGAAAGCAATACAAGAGGTATATCCAATCTTTATGAATCTCATCAGGTTTGATGTGGATTGTGGTTCTAGGGTACTCTTTTGGGAAGATTTGTGGTTGGATGATACTCTTTTTGTTCCCTTTTCCCTAAACTTTATTCAATATCTGACTATAAGTTATAACCTATATCAAATTGTTATTTTTTCTCAATTTGTCCTAAGTTGGGACTTTGGTTTTAGGAGGGGGTTGAGGGATAATGAGTGTGAGTAGACCTGTTCATGGGCCAGGCCGGGCTTTGCCCATGTATCAATAGAATATGTTTAGGCCCGAGCCTGAGCCCTACCCTCATGTAAAGCCCGAAGCTCGGGCCCTAGCCCAAGCTCGATCAGAAATTTGAAAATAGATTTTTTTCATTTTTATTTAATAAAAAGTGTTTTATTTATATTAAAAGCCCCTAAAACTCAAAAATAATAAAAGATCTCACTATTACTTGAGAAAAAGGGAAGAGAAACACAAAAAAAATATTGTATATATACTTTTTAGTAAATAAAGTATATTTTTTATCATATGACATATATTATCAAGTTGGGCCCAGGCTCATGCCAGGCTTTTTGAGAAAGCCCGAGCCCGGCCTGAAAAGAGGTCGGGCCCGGTGTTTTAGGCTCGAACCCGAGTCCACGGGCCTAAAATAATGTCCAAACCCGACTTAGAATGGGGTGGGCCGGGCTAGTCCATTGGGCTACTCGGTCCATGAGCATGTCTAAGTGTGAGACCCTCATTCGATTGTTAGACGAACTTAAGTCTGCCTTCCCGGTTCAATCTATGGAGGACACTAGAGTTTGGTCTACCTCTTCTGATGGCATCTTCTTCTGTGCTTCTTTCTTCAACACTCTTGTGCAGACTTTTGTTGGGGGAGAGAATTTCCCGGCAAAAGAGATCCGGAGTAAGTCCATTCCACCCAAAATTCAAGCTCTGTGCTGGGAGGTTTTTCTTGAATAGGTGAACACCTGTAACATGTTTCAAAAGAGGAGGCCACATAAATGCCTCTCCCCTCATGTGTGCATATCTTTGTTATGTAAATGGTGAATCCCTAACCCAGTTATTGATCTATTGCCTTTTTGTGCTCTTTGTTTGGGAGTCTTTTTGTTCTCTTTCTGGTTGCAGATGGAGTATTCCTCAGGATGTAGTGAGCCTCTTCAACCCAAACTTTCTAAGGCAGCTAACCAAAAATGGAAGACTGGAAGAATTATGTGGAAATCAGTTAGGGTGGCTGTGGTGTGGACCGTATGGGAGGAAAGGGATGCAAGAATCTTCAATGAGAAGCACAGGTCAAAAGAAGAACTTGTGGAAACCATAAAGATAAAAGTTGCACACTGGGTAAAAACACTCGAGCTCTTCCAAAGCTTCTCAACAGCTGATATAATAAAGGCGTGGAAAGAAGTGGCATACTCCTCTTAGTAGAAATAAAGAATGGTGATGGAATAGAAGCCCCCGGTTCCTAGCAAAATCAAGCTGAATTTTGATGGGAGCTCTATAGGAAACCTGGGATTGGCAGGCATTGCTGGTGTGTTTAGAGACTCCTCAAGCGAAGTGTTACCAATGTATTCAAGACCTTTAGGGGTAGGTGACTCAATAAAGGCTGAACTATTAGCACTATTTTAGGGCCTAAAACTTGCTAAACAAGCAGATTTTAAAATCTTGGAGGTTGAAGGGGACTCAAAACTGGTGATATCATGGTCTAACACCAGGGGTGATGCTCCTTGGATTTATAGACATTCGCTAAGGGAGATTGAAAACCTAATAAGGGAACTCAATGCTTCTTTCGCATGGATCAGAAGGATTGCAAATGGGATGGCTGACTCATTAGCCAAACAGGGAGTTTACAGGCAGCAGCTTTTTGGGCTTTATTGTAATACTATGTGTAGCAATGACTATGCTTCTCTTTTTACTGTAATACTGTAACTTTGTTCTCTTTAAATAAAATTCGTCTTTGCTGATAAAAAAATGATGAGACATTAAGGCTGAAGATTAAGCATGGAACTGAATGCTCTTAAAGTGCTCTTTTTTCTAGCGTTAAGTGGCATCGAATGGGGCCTTAAACTTCCTCAACTTTGGTCAAATTCAGATATCAAGCCTCCAGGTGTATGCCTCCCACACCTTTTAAAACACTGGTTTCCTGTACATATAGTAGTTTGTTCTGCAATGGACAAACGATGTAAGTTTACATTTCCTTTTAATCCTTTGTCGTCATATTGGATATTGGGTTTTCTGTATTCTATTTTGTCCATGTGGAATAAACTGAATAAGGAATGGGTTAGGCTAACTTTTGATAGAAGTGGTATCAGCTAGCATGATTCTACCTAATGGAAGGTGATATTTTGGGAATGATCATTGGTGGAGCTTGTCAAGATATTTTGGTTCGGGATCTTTGGGTTAACTCGGTGCCTGGATGGGGACTCACTAAAGATGAAATTTGGGTTCTGCTATCCATATGGGAGAGAAGTTCATGGTTATCTTACTTTCTATACAGTTGCCAAACCTGATGCATAGATAGCTTGGGAATTTGTTAGAATGAATGCAAAAGCTAGTATACAATTTGTTAGATAGTTTGAAAAGAGTCTAATGTGTGAATATGTGACAAGAAAGGTAATTGAAATTACAATTCATGCTGTTGACCCTCAATAAAGTGGAATAGGGGACAAAATTCATGTTGTTGACTATTTGTGTCAAGGCAAAGCATTGATGATGATGTTGATTTTATGCTTATTTTAATGTTTTTTATCCTTTGAATTTTATGCATTCTACAGTTCAACTTTCTTTGTACCAATGTTAAATGCTAAACAATTTTCTTGTGATTCTCTGTCCAGGACGTTATTCTGTATATTGGAAAAGCTTTCGGTTTTAGTTATATTAGTCAAGGTGACAATGGAAACACTACACATCAACCTCCAAATCCAGTAACGAAGACTTCATCTACACTAAGCAATTCAACTGCTCCAGATGCATCTGCTTCAGATTCAGCTGCCAATGTAAATGCTTCAGAAAACCCTTTAGCGAGAACCTTATCAGATGAGGCACTTGACTATGAATCTCTTCTGTCAACACTAGATATTGGTGGGCAGAACATACCTAGGACAGCTGGCCTCCCATCTTCAAATGATTTATCGAGAAACTCAGCTGATCGGCCTGCTCCTGCTGTTGATTTGAAGTTGAAGCTGCATCTCTACAAGGTTCGACTTCTGCTTCTCGCAAGGAACCTGAAGGCAGCAAAGCGTGAAGTTAAGCTAGCTATGAACATAGCACGTGGTAGAGATTCTTCCACAGCATTGCTTTTGAAATCTCAGCTAGAATTTGCTCGTGGTAATCATCGTAAAGCAATCAAGCTCTTGATGACATCAAATAATAGGACAGAATCAGGGATGCCAAGCATATTCAACAACAATCTTGGGTGCATCTACCATCAACTAAAGAAGGACCACACAGCAACTATATTTTTTTCCAGGGCACTGAAGAGTAGTTCAGCACTGCGGTCGGAGAAGCCTCTTAAGCTTTCAACTTTCTCACAGGATAAATCCCTCCTTATTCTGTACAACTGTGGGCTCCAGTACTTAGCCTGTGGCAAACCTTTGGTTGCTGCTCACTGTTTCCAGAAGGCCAGTTTAGTTTTCCACAAGCGGCCCCTTGTATGGCTCCGGATTGCTGAATGTTGTTTACTGGCACTTGAAAAAGGACTTTTGAGATCCAATGGGATTAATGGTGAAGTTAGACTGCATGTTGTTGGAAAAGGGAAATGGAGACAACTAGTTCTGGAAGATGGGAGCTCAAGAAGTAGGCATTTGGATTCTGTGGAAGAGGATGATGGGTTGTTGGGTGGTGACAGCCAACAAAAGCTCTCAATGCCATTTGCTCGACAATGTCTTCATAATGCTCTTCATTTATTAAATGGATTTGAATTAAGGCAACCCAAGGCTGATTTGTCAAACTCATCCTTGGAGGAAGACGAGTCAAACCAATCACTGAAGAGCTCAAACCACAAGAATTTATCAGTTGGGGATTCAAAAACATCTAATGCTACAGTAATTTCTGCATCGGCTAATGTGAATGGGGAAGTAAAAGAATCAAAGGGGGGAGCAAGTTCGAATACCACCCTACAGAGTTCAGTCTCTGCTTACCAAGATATATACAGAAGAGAGAACAACATGATTAAGCAAGCTATTCTAGCAGACCTGGCATATGTGGAGTTGAGCTTGGAAAACCCTTTGAAAGCACTATCTGCTGCCAAGTCTCTTTTGAGGCTTCCAGAATGTTCAAGGATTTACATTTTTCTAGGCCATGTATATGCGGCTGAGGCATTGTGCCGCTTGAATCGGGCAAAAGAAGCAGCCGAACATTTGTCTGTCTACATTATAGATGGAAACGTTGAGTTGCCATACAGTGAAGAGGACAGAGAAAAGTGGCGAGTTGAGAAGAGTGGAGATGGTGAGGACTCCAATGGTGGTTCGGTGGCTTCCAATAACCTGCCCGTGGAAGAGTCTCAAGGTATTGTGTTCCTCAAGCCAGAAGAGGCACGTGGGACCCTTTATGTAAATTTTGCCACCGTGTCTGCTATCCAAGGCAATCTTGATCAGGCCTACCACTTTGCAACCAAAGCGCTAGCTACATTACCCAACAATCCAAGAGCTATTCTCACTGCTGCTTATGTCGATCTCCTGCAAGGGAAGTCGCAAGAAGCTCTTGTGAAGTTGAAACAGTGCAGTCATGTTAGATTTGTCCCAGCAGTGTAACATGAAGAGATTACCCTGATGGCTGTATCGGTGGCCTTAATTGATTAGTGTCCAGCCAGCACCCTGTGCAAATTAGCAGGTTGACAGAGAATCTTCTTCTAGGGTATCTGTAACATATATGTGATGAGTCGTAGAATAAGCTTTTTTCCATGTTTAGGGTTTGGTGGCATGGCACTTGTTTTGTTAGCGCAGATGCCCCCCTTTCAGATTCAAGTGTAGTTGGCCTTACTCAGATTACTGTGTTAAGTGGCTAATCCAGTTGGCATTCAACAAGGAATGTGGGGAGAGAGATTGTTTGCTCTCCTCGAAATGTTAAGGAAAAATTCTTTCATTCTGGAAAGCAATGCAAATCCAAGTGTAATTCCATTCGAGAACCTCTGTCTTCTCTTTCTGGTTTCTGTGTTTGGATGTAGCAACAAGGCACTTTGTTTCTCTCTGGGATGAATATCTGTTGCCTGTTGGTTTAACATGCTCAGAGCCCCAGAGTATTGCTTCCACCAAATTCCAAAGCCGAACATTTGTTTGAGCCCCGCTAGTTTGAGGCAGCTAGGAGAAGCAATGCTCGTTAGAGTTTTGGACATCAAATTACATGTAGGTGATTCCCACATGGTCACTGCTAGTTTCTTTCACCAATCACAACCATGGTTCAAGTGTCGGTATTGAAGAGTCTTAGAGGGGCGGATGGGCAATCTTAAGATGTGTTGGATTATGTTTGGCATATGCATTAATATGGTGAAATGAATGATTAAATTATGTATAAATAAATTTAGGCTATGTTTGGTTTGAAGGAAAAGGTAGAGAAAGGAAGGGAAGGGTAGGGAAACCTATACAAGGTTTGTCAAGGATCCCCTATCTTTCCCTTCTTTTCCCTACTTTTTTTTTTCAAACCAAACACAGCGTTAGGGAAAGCCATATATCCCATAAATGCGTCAGTAATATACAAAAGAAACATATTTTTATAGTTTATATGAATTATAAATTTACGGGTATATAGTTGGAAAATGTCGGGTAATGGATTACAAATTAAAATATACATACCTTAGAGTTAGAGTCCAACTGTTTAAAAAATATAAAATTTTCTACACAAGGACCTGGGTTCAATTTTTCTATACTAGCATTGGCCTAATATGATGGATGTATTGGATGATAGCATCGATTTTCTTCATAAGCAAATTTTGCGTATAGAGAATTTGTATTGACCGAAACTCCTTTTCTCTTTTTTATCTTTTTGATATTAATTTTTGACAGGGGTCTTATCATATCACCTTTTTAAGTTTTAGCATAAAAAAACGCTGAATCTTGTAATTCCCCTAAAATAGAGTATAAGTGACTCTGAGATACGATATGGGGTGTAGCTTATGCCTGTTATATTGTATTAATATTTTAAATTTTTTTGTTTTTTTTTTTTTTTAAATTAGGGTAAATTACAAGCGCCCCCTGTATTATGGGGTCAATGACAAATAGCCCCTGAACTTTCATTTGCAACAAGCCAATAAAGATCCCCGGACATTCACTTTGCAACAAATGTTTAATTTTTTTTTTAATTCTCAAATTACCCTTTTTCTTATGTATTTGAATGATTTATGATTTTATTAATTTTCTAAATATAACATTGAAGGCCTCTTCATTACTCCAATAGATCCTTATAGATTTCTGGCTAGATTCAATATTCAAATGAAATGGTAGAGGACTCTTTCTGATAAATATAAATTTATGGTTTCATATGAATTTTCTTGATTTATTGGAGAAAGGAGTGGATAATTTTTATATTTTAATATGAAGAGAGACATTTGTGTGAGATCAAGAATTAAAAAAAAAAAAAAATTATGCCAAAGTAAAAGGGTTCTTTGTTATTTTAGCTGGTTTTATTCAGAGAAAATGGAGGAATATTTTGATCAATTAAGGTTTAAGAGAAAAAGGGTGAGAAAAAGAAAATAAGGAAAATGATAAGCTAACCTTTGAGCTAGCATGCTCAAATACATTAAAACTTACAAAGAAAATATAATTATATTAAAAAAGTGACTCGTAATCAAACCATTTTACCTGTAACCCGGCAAGCATTCTGGTTTTATATCCGGTCACATTGGTGAGCAGAGTTTTTGCTTGCAGGTATCTGAGTCCCATTTGATAATGGTAGAAATGGCTGAATTAAATGATTTCTTGCTTTGTTTTTCAGTGAATAAAATAATCAAATAATAAAATATTCAAGGGAATACAGTAATCAACACAACTTTAACTTCGACCTTCGACCATCAAATAGGTTGCAACCTCCCTAAAAACTCTTTACCAAAAGACAGAAGTCATTCAGTTCAGCCACACTTCTTATGATTGTCAAATTGCCCATTAGTCACAAAGTGGTGCAGCCTCGGCCCCCACCTTTTGCTTAATGGGAGTTATTTAAAAAAATATTCATTGAAGGATCCTACGAAAAGAAGATTTCTAAATGATTTATTTACTTAATAAGACAAAACTGTCAAAATATATTTGGTTGGATGTATGGTTGCAATGACTGTTGGACCGTGTGGTGGGATCAGATCCGAACTCACATGAATTGCATGAATGATGCTTTCTAGTGTCATGATTCAAGAAACAAAGACAATATTTCTGACCACGAAAGGAAAAGCTCTTCAATTTTTATTTTTTCTTTTTTTTTTTTTTTATCTTATCAATCCTATTAATGAGTGTTTGAGAAAACAAAAGAGTCATTATATTTTGCTCAGTGCCATATCATTCTTAAACTTTGATTCTTTAAATCACTTCTTAAATCCATGTCTTTCTAGGTTTCTAATGAAGTTTGAAATTATGTTATTTGAAGCATCAAGTCAATGGGGACGAGTTTTAAACAGAATCAGAATTTTATTCTGTCAATTTGAAGGTTTCAAACTATGCCATGCATGCAATGAAGCCAATAGAGCAGCGGGTCACTTGGCAAGTATTGACCACACGAGTTCGGCTTTGGTCAGTGCAAAACCATGCTAACACCGTTTAAACAGCCTCTTGCAATCTTCCATTAGTAATATCTTTCCAAGAAATAAAGGATTTAAATACAAGATATTAGCTGAGCTCCAACCACAACATTAGGGCTTCAACCCACACTAACTTCAAATTTGTGATCTCACCCCATCCACCTTAGATGTTGAATTGATCGTAAGGCATCCCTTATATTGAGGAGTCATGGTTCATGGGTTCAAACTACGGAAAGGCAGGCTTTGTACGTTGTATGCCAGTGGGCCTTATGTGCACTCACCCACTGACAAGTTGTAGTGTATAGCACCTGGCTCTTATGGGTCTTAAAGTTGCACTCACTCATATTTTCACCCTTCTTATATATAAAGAAGTAGAAAAAAAAAAGAAAAAAAAATCTCACTCATATTTTACCCCATAACACGTGCCTCAAGACAAGGAGTAAAATTCCAGTCATGTGGCATTATAATTTTATCTTGCTGAGTCAACATTTCCATCATTCTCAATTCCCATTTTCTGAATGTAATTATTTCTGGTTGCAGTATTAAGCTCATAATCTAATGCTATTCGTGTTGGATTAGGGTTGAATTGGATGAATCCGGTTTAAATCCAATTTTATTGTGTATACATAACATTTATTTATTTTTTCCCACTTTGGTAATAAGAAAACTAATGAAAACATTAAACGAATAAATAATAAAAAATAGAATCAATATATGTCATGAAAATTGAATCTAGATCTTGAGATGGGAGTAAGGTTGGCTTGTGTTGGGGGCAAAGTTCAAAGTATCGGAAACGCTGTCTATCGGAAAGGCAAATTTAAGACACGTATCGAGATACACCTTAGATACGTATGGATATGGACGAAAAATTAAGATACACATAGAAACATATGGAAATGCTATAAATACTCTAATAAATCATAAATAAGCATTAATACCACTAAATATAAAACATAAATGAGCTATTTATGCATAAAAATAACATGTTTTAGTAGGTTTTATGAAAAAAAAACATATTATAATCAATAAATGGAAAGTCGTGAACAGAAACATACTATCTAATTATGGACATTATAGATCAAGTAATTATTTTGCATGTTTATTCTAATTTTTTAAAAGATTTGAGTCTTTAGAAAGGTTAAAAAGCTTTTTGAAGGATTTGGGAAAGAAAGAGGGCTTCTAAAATGGGTTTAAAAGCCCTCTTTCGAAAAGAGTTTTATTTGCGATTCCGCCACAGTAAAATCGTACTGTATTGGTACGGTAACATATCAACCGATACAGCACCAAAACGCACCGATACTCAATGAAATAGGCACGATACAGCCACGATATGACATCGATACAACGAATAGATACGACACATTCAATTTGGTACCATGTACCGTGCCAAAAACTTACTGGAATGATACGTATCGGCTGAAAGGTTGGATTGGGTTAGGGTCAAGGTTGGGGGTTTGGAACTTTGGGTTGGATTAGAGTCAGCCTCAACTCGACCTAAACCAAGCCCGACTTAATTGCACCCCTAATATTCTTGTTCATGGTTTTATATCAACAGTTAGAACACTTTTCAGCTTAACAACTTACCTTGGTTGGATACCTAGGGTTAAACCCAATTAATTGGTTAATCCAATTTGATTTGAAAGTATGCCATAATTTTGAAAACCTAATCAGAAATGAAATCGCTTTAACCACCAGTGCCCGAATCAAATGATTTTGGGGTCCAAAACCAGACCCAAACTCAATGACCGGTTCCCAGGTCAATCAGTTGGACCATCTGATCCACACGACTAGATTCAAAGTTGGTCATGATCGAATTGAGCAGGTCTCATGCAACTAAGGAGACTGTTGTTTTCATCCTTTCGTGTTCTAGAAGGTGATTGGAACCGACACCATTTTTCTGAAAGGTGGTGTCACATCAGTTCGAAATCTGAAATCTGTTTTCTGAATAAACACTCACTGTTTGGTGCCGTTGCAAGCACTGCGCTTCTCTCAAATCTAATCAGGCCGCGCATATACTGTTCAGATCAAGCAGGGATTATATATTTTAGAGTAATTTCACTCTTGGATTTCTCCACCGCACCTGAAAGAATTTAGGCATACTCCATCGCTCACTCTTGTTTATTATACAAACAAAATGTCATTGATATTGTTGTAGGCAAGGTTCAAATATCGATATAATACGCGTATTGATAGTATCGTATCGGTACTTAGAAATGTCCGAAATCCTTTTTTTTAGTTTTTTTTTTTTTTTTTAATTTTTGGTTTTTTGGAAAGTTAAAGACATACTTTTTTTTTTTTATTAAAAAAAGTTAAGATTCCAAAACACTTGAAAATAGACATTTCGGAATGTACCGTTTTCAAAAGATACGATATAATTCGCAATCGATACTTTGGTTGTAGGGAGAAACTTCATGGACAGAGTCAAATTTGCTACATATACGACCAGTTCTCTGGCTACTTTATCAGATTGACTGTCTATGTACCTCTGGCCTGTATCCTTCATATAGTTCAAAAAATTAATGCACATGCCTTCAAGTTTGCTTACCAGTTGGGTTGGGTTATATTTACGACTCTATATTGGTCCACATTGTCTATTGTCTATTGTCTCTTGGGTATGGTACAAGTTGTACCTTAGAATATGAATCCAGGTATATGGTTTAAATGAATATGATAGGATAAATTATTGCAAAATTGGTATCAATAATTTGAAAAAATACCATAAATTCAATGCAGCTTGGCATTTGTAGTTCAGGTAGATATTTTTATTTAATGTTTTAAAAATTGATTCAAAATCAGAACCGTTTTAGTCATTGGTTTTCAGGTCAGCAGTTCAATAGTGCAGTTGGAATGGGCAGCTTGTTTTAAACTAAAAAATAATTAAAATAAAAAATGGCCAAAAAATTATTGTTCTGATCAAATGGATTGATGATTTAACCTTTCAGGTCAACGGATCATTAATCAAGTCAATGGTTTTTTATCGAAGAAGAACGGATTAAGAGTGCAATGGAACTGGTTGTCTTGACGGTTCTTGAGACGAACGGTCTGCTGTCTAGATCAACGAAAACACTGTTTTCAGCTCTCATGAAGTGAAAGGTTGATATCTCTCTTGTGTTGTGTGAAACACTGTTATTAGGATAACCCAGCAGAAAGCAGTCTGGGACCTCATAACTTGTCAAGTATTTCTATGGATAAACGACTAATTGGTGAACACCATTCAGTTGGTGGCAGCAGAATGGATATTTACTGGGCCCAGAAATAAGCCTGAAACATTCAGTGGTTGGTGCTGGCCCTCTTGATGTAGTATGACTCCTGATCTGCTATCCACCCACAAGACATGTGTAATATGAGATGTTCCTAATGTATAGCTATAGTGTCTTGTGAATAGTAAATCCAATAAGTGTAGGTACAAACCATTGGTTGCATCATCAACATAAATTATAGACCAGGAAATAATATGTGTAAATTCTATTTTCCCTTCCATTCATTCCCTCTCAGTAGACTGATTTAGTAATTCTTGTTAGAAAAGCTATATAAATTCCTAGATTCTAAGGTAGAGCTGTCCCATTGACAGACGCCACATGTTCTGGCTGGAGAAGGGACAAATGGGTTCATGTGCAAAAGTTAAGAGTGGTCCCAACCTTTGGCCAAGTTCTTATCTCACATGTGTCCATGTCTGTTCCTTTTCCCCTTTCATTTCTGTGTTTCTTTCTCTGGTGCAAAGTGAGGTAGGACAGATGATTAAGACATGAATCTCTACATTTACCTCAAATACTGGGGTTTCCACTTCTGCTGCTGGGTTAAATAGTACTTTAGAAGGTAAAGGAGGGTTTCTCAAACAGGACTACTATTATTTTTTCATGGGAAACCGAAAGATACATATTTGATGAGATGGAGCACACCCCATTTCTAGGCACTAAGCCATTAAATCATTGATCTTGACCTTCAGTTACTTGACAGTTCACCAGATAACTGGGCCTTAATGAATTCTGTCTTACTAGTTAAAACCTGTTGCGAATTTCTTAGGGTTAATCTGATTCAATTTGAAATACAGCACCTATTCGAGTAAGTATTGAATTATGTATTAATGCAAGATAAATCATATATATAAACATCAATTAGCATGGACTAATTGAGATTAATATAAACTAAATGTAATGAATAAGACCATTGATTTTCATTCAATATTCTATGACACTATCATTTAACCTAGTCCTAGGGTCTCATCAGAGGGGTGATTTCATTTGCTCCGTCATTTTTAGGCTGTCTCATCATGATGTCTAGCTTTAACAGATTATACAATTGTTTATTTGGATTGCTAGGATCAAAGGAAGACTAGCCTGGCAGCATGCATACACTGCACCAAAGCCAATTGGTTGGTGATCTATTGGGCTACCAAATGAATGTTGAAAAAACGAATTAGCTAGATATTATTTATCTGCCCAATCCCATTACTTCAATCATTTTTTTTCTTTATTTCACGTTAACATTCTACCTTTTTCATTCTTAATGCAGAAAATAATGTGAAACCCACTTTGTTTTGAGTGAAACCCACTTTGTTTTGGTCCCAATCCCCTGAATATAAGACACATCTCTAAGCTTTACAGTGCAATAAACATTAATTATTTGTTATGTCAACATTGGTGCTGAATATTAGAGACTCTAGATGATGAGATAAAAAAAAATTGAAAATTTTAAGGTTTGGTAAATATTTATTCAAATTAGTCAGTGATTCTTTTATTTAACTTATTATGAAATTATAATAAAAATAGAAATCAAGTCATTTTAGGGTTTGGAAAACATTTACCAACACACTAGCAGCAAGAATCTAATTATTGATGGAAGAATACTATAGTAAAGAATGAGTTCAATTATTAATACTTTATTTCCCTCACCCAACGTGGGACCCATAAATGACATGTCTAACTTCGTCTTGTAGTGTATCCCTTTCATAGGACCCATTACATCTGGCATTTCTATTGTTTGAACAAATTATGTGTTCAAATGTTAGAAAATGTGATCTCATTCACGTGACTCCAGGGGACCCACAAAGGGAACCCATATCGAAACGAGCACTAGGAGGTGTGCCATATGTTTCCAAGGGTATGCCCCACCAAAGATCTTGGTAAGTATAATAAAACAGGCCGGAGTGAGATAGCTTAATTGACAATTCTAGGGACTGAAATCATCTGATTGATAAGGTTCGATCAATGAGTGCGAGGCCTGTATGATCCTTTATCTTCCTAGGATGGACATATGCCAATTGATCTGGACTATCTGATTGATGGGTCTAACCTTCTATGGATGGTGGTGGATCAAATTAATGCCTCAACATTAACATATTGAATGGCCAACAGCTGTATAAGAAAGGTGCATGCTTGCTAGAGAACAACCAGGAGGCCCAGGATGAAGTTGGTTCATTTTAATTGTGCGCTGGCCCACTTCCATGAATGAACCATAGATCTATGGAGGAAGATGGTCATTAGATCCATTGCTCATAACTTAAAAGCCCTCTCTCTCTCATCAAAGCATGCAAAGATCTTTGGGTTTTTTTAGGTAAACAAGATCTTTGATTGAGAGATATGAAAGCTTCACCAACCCAACAATGTCAGTGGTGCAATGCAAGTACTACATGGAGAGTAAGGCCTCCATTTAATGTGTTAGGGTTTACTTTTCTCTTTTAAGAGATTCAGCTTTAAATTAGATTATTATTGGTGTGGCCAATTGGGTCGGTACGTAGGCTAGGGACCAGCAGCAACAGATTCTCTAATGGGAATGACCAGGTCACGGGCTCACAGTAGATCAAAATTTATTACTCTGTATAGACATTCCCATATTAAATAAATAAATATATATATATATATTATATATATATATAAATAATAAACCAACCAAACAGAGCATTAGTACTAGTTAGAGACTAGAAATGGAATTAAGGAGAAGGAGAAAAAGCATCCCTGAGACCAAACACACATACAACAATTGCATGAGAACAAATGTGTACAATAAGAACCATACATCAGTGGTACCAATCGAGGAGGGAACTACAAAAAATAAAGAGAAGATGAAAAGTGAAAGAAAGAAAGATTGGCTCGACATCCTCTCATGTCGATTCCTTCCATGCATTCATCAATCTAAGGACCTGCAACCACAAAGACAGTAGCATCCAATGAGAAAACCCTGGTAATGATCATCAAATACCAAGAAAAGAATCACATCACATCAAACTATTAAATTATTCTGAGAACTACTTTAGGAATTTCGTTCTATATAAGTTGCTTGCTTGTCTTCTCAGAGTGAGAGAGAGAGATGATGATGATGTATATATACTGTTTCCGGCCAGCTTCATTCTACAATGAAATCTAATTTCATTTCAGAAGTGAATAAGTCCTGAAATTAATTAAAAGCTTTTCTCAAGGAATCGGGAACTCTATAACTGACCCATTATGACAACTTACAGAATGCACTGTAGTCTGTAAACACGTGAACGTTGAGAACTGAGAAAATAAAAATACTATGTACCAAGCCAAGCCAAGCCAAGCGTCTACTGAAGATTAATTTGAATGAATACAAAAGTATAAGAAAAATATGGCTTAATCAATTTCATTTAAAAGATAAAAGCAATTAACAAAGATGACAACATGCTAGATTCTCAGCGCACAAGAGCGAGCACTGTACTAGTTAAAACTTGAAGCTAGCTTACAGGCTATGACTACGTAACGTTTGGAGCTTAATTAGGGTTTGAGAGGGTATACACTTAACTTGGACCTAGAGTGTGCAGGTGTAACCAGGAGGAGGTGTCTTCCCACAAGTAACGAGGAGCTGAAGAGCAAGTGGGAGGTAGATGTTGAGGTTGAGGAGCTTGATCTTCAGAGTAGTGCACAAGCAGACTGCAGCTTCGAGCTCAACGAGTCCTTGAAGCAATGGACAGCACTTATTCACAACTGGGTCTCCGAGACCGATATGCACCAACCCGCCGAGAAGATCTACACAAGCTCCGAGCTTGAGGGAGTCAGCAGGGCATGTGTCCGGCTGCTTGGGAGATGGAGGTGGTGGGCATGGTTTTACGGTGGGTGGGGTGGTCACCGGTGGGTTCAGGATAGGTGGGACGGTCACCGGAGGCAGAATTACGGGTGGTTTCACAATGGGAGGGACGGTGACGGGAGGTAATGTAATGGGTGGTTTAACAATGGGAGGGACGGTCACCGGAGGCACCGTGATGGGTGGTTTAACAATGGGAGGGACGGTGATCGGAGGCACTGTGATGGGTGGTTTGACAATGGGAGGGACGGTGACTGGTGGGTTGACGACGGGAGGTTTCACCTTGGGCTTCTTCTTGTGCTTGGGAGGGGGCTTGCCGCAGTAGCCACAGCCGAGTATGGGAGTGGCTGAGGAGATGAAGAGCATGCAGATAATAAAGAGAGCCGAGAGCTTAGAGGAGTCCATGGCTATGGATTCTCCTCCTTCTGCTGCTGTAATTCACTACTTGGCTGAAACAAGGAGAGTAGATTAGATTTGGTTGTGTGGAAATAGAGAAATGTTGGTCTTTTATAGAGGGTGAGGAGTGTGAGAACAAACCCTTCACGTGAACATAGCTAGGCCGGAAAGGCAACTGCCAAATCTTGCTAGTTGGCAAATACTTTACAAATACATGAATCCATCTTCATTTATCTATATTTCCATCATTATTAATTCTTCAATTGCTGATTGTTACCAACTCTCCTTTTTCATCTTTTGGGGTGGGGTGGTAAACTGGTAATGGCTAATGAGTAACTTGTAGATGAAAATAACTTCAATATATAGATGAATAGCTAGGTCTTCCCGTGGAAAAGAAAATGTTCCTTATTTAGGTTTGTAGACTGGAGATATGGTCTATGAATTTGTTCCAATTGAACTTCTTAGGGCAAATAATTCCATTGTGATTTGTTAGCGACAACTCCAACTGCGCGCAGTGTCATCCAATCAAGGTTTCTTTTGTTTCAAAAATTCGGACAGAAGTTTCTTGTTATGGCTATCTAGCTAGTTTGGTTGATTTTCACTCTGCTGATGAGGTGTTATATTAATACCAGCTTCATCACATGGTGGGTCTCATTTGCTCAGCCTTAGCTTAGAGAAGCAATATAAGCCTGAGATGAGATTACCGATTCTTGTTAACTCATCCTGCAATTAAATAGGCTTGTTGTCCTATCCATACCCATATCTCAGTTCTAATTTTTGATGGAATATTGGATCCTTCAGTTGGCTGCTTTGCTCCAGAAGCAAATAATAATGTATTGGAGAACTAATATACACACATATATACATATATATATATATATATATATATATATGCTTATAATTAAACCTAGAAGGCGCACATCCATTGAAATGGGACTGAATTCCAACACCACTGTGATCTTATCTTAGTGATATATAGTTTATGCAGAGTTTAGATCAGCTATATATGGTGGCTGTACGTTTCTGTAGTTGATTCGAATTCGTCATTATAAGCTTCTAATACCCATTAGTTTATCTTAATACTAAATCTAAGGTGAAGTGCCAAAATCCTCTTGACTACCTCTTTTGAGAATAGATACATTAATATGGAGACATATGTAGAGAATAGAACTATGTTTGTACTTATATGCATGTAAGCATGTGGAAGGGGATTTATAGGAAAATGTGAAGATCTTAGAGGATGAATAAAATGAACTCAAAGCTATACATATAATATCATCAAGTTTGTAGATTATAAAGTGTGTGTTCGTAGAGAGAGAGAGAGAGAGAGAGAGAGAGGAATGGATATGGAAGAAAGATCAGAATGAATGAATGAATGGATGAATAATGTAAGGGTGTGGATTTATGAAAAGTACAGCAAAGCAAGCATATGTGAGATTGTGGTGAGGAGGAAGTGCTATGAAGGGGCGAGGGTATTAGTTTGTTTTGTGATGAGAAGGATCTGGAAGATACTCTCTCTCTCTCCCTCATGCATTCGCTCTGTGTAGACTGTACCTTATGTCCATCCGTGACTCGGTTTAAGTTATCCTTAGGCTGGATGGCTTTGGAATTTTGTGGATCCGTGATTCTTCTGTGCTCACTTTGATGTGATCGGTCGGCTCCTCTCACAACCTCCATTCCTTCCTGCTTCACTTCTTCTCGGCAGTTTCTCGTCTCTCACTACAAAAAAAACCAAAATCTCCTACCTGGGTTTAATTAATTAGCATCCATAGTTCCATATTCATATATATATTTTAATTAATCTATAACTTAGACTACTTAGCTAGTAAGATACTGTTGTCTTAAACTCTTAACTAATACTTGGTAGGTGTTTGATAGAAAAGCTTAAGTTTCATTTGGTGGGTTGCAGGTAACAACAGAAGTTGTATCTGCTGCAGTACTGATCGATGATAACTCAAACTCAAAATCATCAGCCCCACCATGATATAAAAGGTGGTCTGATGTGTGAATTTGGAGGCATCACACACTGCACTGATCTCTCCCCCAAGTGTGTTGAGATTCATTGCAAGCTGTGGTTTGCTGCTGTATCATCACTTGGAGTTGCCTGACGCGGCCACCATGGGAGATGTCCGACTCTGCAGGGACTAGGGAGTGAGAGAGACTGCAGCTTGAAGTTGATCAGAGAGGAAAAAAGAAGGGGAATGTTTTTGATCAACTTGAAGTTGATCAGCTTGAAGTTGACGCGGCCCCTTTGATATCTCTATTTCCATCTTTTATGCCAAAAAATCTAGAATTTAATTCCAAATTGCATAGTCCGGGTTTAGTTACATATTTACGCTAGCTGTTCAAGCAACTTTCAGCTTTGGAAAATAAGATGTATTTTACCCCCCCCCCATTTCTCAGAAATCATATTGTTGAAATTGGGAAGGTTGTGGATTCTCACAAGCCAAACGCAGCCAGTATTATTTTCTAATTGTAAAACTTCATTAATTAGGACATGAAATGATAGTTACCCATCAAACATAAGTCTCAAGATAGACTAAAATCTCTTGGGACTTGGGATTTCTAATTTCTATATACATCATATTCCAAGGCAAAATATCAACAATTAATTATATTTTATACAAATTTAGATTTCCAATCACTCTCCTCCTCAGGAAAAGAAAAGTGTTGGTAGCTCTGAAAAACACCTTTAGTTTTATGGGTAGGACAAAATAGGGCTAAGATATAATAGAGGAGGGGGAAAAAGCTGTAATTGTAGAGGAGAAAATTAAACAAGAAAGCAAAACCTAGGCCACATAATATATCTCCAACTCAAGGTATATACATGATAAGCACCATTCAAGGAATTGGGATCCTTTGGACACTGACTAATAAGTAACTACCAAGTCCAATCTTATAATAAGTCATAGAGTCACCCAATTGCACTAAAATTCTCTCTTGCCGTCTGTATCTAAAGAAACTTGGAATGTTTAGGGTTTGCCTCCTCCTTAGGATTATTTGGATTTTGGACCCAAGTAGTTAGTACAGTCAATAGCATTCTGTTAATATGTTATCTCAACTCGCCATCAATGGAGATCAATGGCAGAGAATTTGTATATGTGGTCCAATGAAGATGTCAAGATGCTTCCATGCATCAAAAAGCAGAATTTATGGTGATAATGGAGAAGAATCCAGACAAATCGTGGTAAATACAAGGACAATAGGGGTTACAAATATGTAACTATGATCCAAAATGAAGGCTTTTCTTCTAAGCATGGAGTACTGATTCTCCTGTTTGGAAGCGTGTTAAGCCTGACACGGTTCATCTGCGGAATTAGCTATCTCGTGGCTCGAGTCAACGTCTGTACATACAGGATCCACAATGCCTCTATATATCTAATTCCTACCAAGAGTAAAACCATGGGCGATCAGCTTACAGTCGCTTTCTAGTTTCTATGCATTTGTATCTTTTCAGTTCCGTATAAGCAAACAGACCCCTTTCACGAGCTGAGAATGAAAACACTTTGTAAAGACACAATCAATGGAATTACTTTACGGAAACAGACTTTTTTTATATGCATTATGCGTCTAGGATCCAGACTGCTGCAGAAAAAACAGTATAAATTGGAGCTTCCCTCCTTTGATCTCTATCTCTGGTTCACTTCAATAGCTCTAGCTCCTACAATTTACAGCTAAAGTAGCTTTCCCAATGATCCCACATGGAGGGTAACGTTTTTCACTATTATGGATGTCAATGGGGCTAGACTAGCCCTACTGCTGGTATAGGTTTAATATGTGGTCTGATCGGGTTAAGGACGGGTTAATTAGGGTTGTTAAATGCTAAACCACCACAAATTCAGATTGTCACACAATAAGCATTCAAACTTCAAAGTGCTTTTATATGGATATCAAGTGTTTGTTTGTTTTTTCTTTTTTTTTTTTTTACGAAGATTAAAAGGAAGTATCCAATGTTGGTTTCAGCTATATTTAGGGTTAAATGGGACAGATGAATTGAATATAGACCGAGCGTTGGGCATTGCTTTCTATAGAGTGCCTTCTCTCATCACTCGAATTCATGTTTTCATGCTTGTCAGTCTGAAATATCAAATTATCAATTGCTTTATGTTTGGCTGTTCAAAGCTCAATCCCTATCAAACCTGAATCACAAATTCACAGATTCACTGTCCTAATTTTTAGGGAGAATGATGGTTCAGCCCAGGGTCAGAATTTTTAGGCCCAAAGTACAGTTGGGGTGGGTGCCACTTCGGAATTGATGTCAATTTAAGGGTGGGCGTTGGTGTATAGAATATGGGATTTTTGACATTTTGAATGTTTATAGCTCTGCAGTGGAATTCAGAAATCTGCATTGGGCATGTCCGTACTTTTCCGTAATTTGTTCAGCCTTCTGAACAGGACTAGATGTACTTGATGGCGATGTTAGGGACTATTTAACCAATTATAATTAACAGTCCATGTGGCATAGTTAGATATGGTTGTATGGATGGCAATTTTGTGAGTATTGGGTACCCGATCAATTCCAACTCCAAATAAAACCAGTTTATCAAAACCCTATAGGATTTAGGAATTTAGATTAAAACCCTAAAGAGTTTGGGATGGGTTTAGGTTTTGTTATTAAGATACCAGATACCTGAACCTGATTATATTTTACACAAAGACCCATAGACCAATTAATCAAAACCCCCTTATCTGAACTTTAATAAAAAGAAACTACTTTGTTACTACTTTTATGATACCGGTTGATTGGTTATAAATTTTTTTGGTATCATACTCAAACCCTAATAAATATATCTTATACGTTTTATAAGAAATAATATATATAGTAAAAATGGTTGAGAGGGGATTCAAATCATTTCCCTTGTGTCTCATGATAATCGACTTCATTAGGGGTGTCCATAAAAAACCGAATAACTGAACTGAACTAAGGAAAATCCTATTAACTGTACTGATCAATTTGGTAATTTTGAAAAACTGAAGGACTAGTTCAATTTTTAATTAACCTAGGAAGAAAAACTGGCAATTAACCGAATCGACCGGTATATATATTTATATGTATTTTTATATATGTCACATATTATCTACATATTATAATAAATATATATG